AAAACTGGTTTTCCAGAAAACGGGGTCTTCAAGAGTCATGGGCCCGAACCCTTTTAGGATTTTCTTAGTCTCACTGAGTCCTACTTATAGCCAAAATATGGAGTCAAACGGCGTCCGACAGTTGGATCGGTTCCCTCGTGAGCCAAAAACCAGTAGTATTTTCAAGGTTTTAATTTTTTCTTCAAGTCCTCCCAATTTCTAGAGGATACTTCGAAGTATATATGAATACCCGAATACAAAGTAAGTGCACTGGATTTTTAAGGAACGAGAGAGTATGGAAACAAATTCTTTCAACTTTTGTTGACACAAAGTTGAAATCTGTTTGATTAACTATTTTGGATATCAAAACGGGGCGCTATTTTTCTCAAAATATATGAAATCTAAGAACTTCTACTATGTACAGCTTCGTTAAATATGTTAACTTCATCAGGTCTCAAAATAAAAATGCACTAAAGTGAGAAATGCATCGAAGGTTGATGTCATCGCAATCGTGAGTATCCTTGGTGTAAGATCGCTTTGTCATTGGTAACTTTCAGGATGTAGCGAGTATCAGTGCAGTTCTGTTTGACGCACAGAGGATTGGGGCTCAGCCATTCCGCCTCATTCACAGGATACTAGACTGGCCCTAGCAATGAACTGATATTAGCGACTAGTATTGTCGGATACGGATTCTCTGAAAGTTCAAGCGTGAATGTTTTCTTCACATACGGCAAACGTTACCTTATTAGTAAGACTCACGTTAGAACCATAAGACATCAGCTTCTCTCACCTTTATTTCCATGTGAGGTTCATAAGAGACAGAAAACTAGATGAAAATGAAACTTTATACTATATGAAATTTCTTCCACTATCGTTATCACAGCTCACTGTTAACTTTTTACAAATAGAGTGAAGCAGATAGTTCAACGTCGTGAAAGAAATATGCCGGAAGGATTTAAATGACGGACTACATCTTCAAAATTGCTGTGTACCAACTTAAGCGCATCATTTCTCGAAGAGAAAACCGAGGAAAACAAGGTGCATGATACGTAGGTTTAGATGTTTTTAGCAATCCTATGCTTTCCTTTGACTTCAGTCAGTTAGCAGGACTTGTCTTCTTGAGCGCACGACTCAATCTATTTTCCTCTCTCAGTGAATATTATTTCGACAGAATTAACTGTACTTTCAAACAAACAAAAAGTTTCTAGACACAATAGAAAATAGCGTGAACTGTTACTGAAAAGTCCGAAATAATATTCACTCACAGAGAAAAATACACTGAGTCATACGCTCAAGAAGACAAATCCTGCTAACTAGCTAAAATAAAACACCTGGTGCAAGGAAAATGAAATAACGCGAAATGTATTTTTCGCGACAGGAATCCCGGTGCTCCAGTAGCGAGTTATGCGCGATCCGACGTAACTTCGCGAGAAAAGCAGGCTCGTGGTACTACATCGCGACTTCTGTAGGACGATAACATTAGAATAGCGAATAAATCGCGATCGCAGCATGAGAGTAGCGAATTCAGCACTTTCATTCTTAGACCACGAGAAAACCGCGATCATAAAACAAGACTCTTATTTCGCGATCATAACCGTGATCGCGTTATTATAAGCGTCATCAAGATTCTGAGAAAAACATCGGGATAAAAAAAGAACTAGATAGGTTTGCAGAATGACCGAACAGGGTTTTTCAAATTTTAGCCATTTTTGACGAAAATTCATTTTTTCTCAATCGCAGGCGAAAAAGTCGGAAGTCTGCCCATAATTCTCAATTTCTCGATCGAACTCAACTTTTGAGCAATAAAAATATCATATTCGGAATCAGGAACAAATATGATGTTCCTTGAGGGAATCGAGCGTTTTCTTCATACGTAATGACGCACTCGTTTGTGTGAGGTAATACATTTTGTAGTACATCTCGACTTTGTGAGAACGATGAAGTCTGCTGATAATATTCGGTTCATGTTACGGGGGTTCGCTGTCGGACCGGTGTTTTCGTTGATAAGGTATCTGTTGATGGCACGGCAATGATGAAGGAGTTTGGGAAACAAGTTGAGACAAATATTGACGAGAGAAGGGTCTGGATGTAATAGATGCTGTTGTGTCAGTATTATATATGAAGGAGGGACCAGTGTTCCGAAACTTTTGTTGTTCATCTTCCAATTCATCTGTATTCCTTGCTACTTTCAAAAAAATCTGTGGTGTCCACTCATCTTCAAGTATCAATTTTTGTCGTTTGATTTGTGGTTTCAATTCTGTTTTAACTTCATTTTCCAAACAAGACACTATCATTTTTGCATCATATTTGCTACATGATTTAACCATGAACTTGTAACAACTCGTAACCGATTCGTCTGGTTGTTCTTTCCGTTCAATTAATATCTGAAATGCTTTTGATGCTGATTTCAATGGTTTTAATCGTTCGGTCATAGCGGCTTTGAACATTGACCGTGTTGTGATTATTGTTGAATTGTCTTCGTACCACCGGGCTGCTTCTGCATCCAGTTTTGATGTTGCCATACAATATAACACATGCTCGCGACTATGTTTCCGATCCGTTCAATATTACTGAAAAACTGATCGATTGTACGAGTTCCATCACCGCTGAATTTTTCCATATTGATCAAGCTTTCTTTATAGCATATGGTGCTTGGTCCGTCATTGTGAATGTTGTTTTGCCGGATAATGGTGTAGTGGAACTGGATAGAGATAATTTATTATCGAAATCAGATTGCTGACGATCCTTTACAGACGAATTTGCGATGGGATCTCCCGAAAACAATTCTGATTTGTTTCGGGTTCGGCTTGTTGTTCCCTCCGCCGTTCTTATGATCACAGGGATCGTGCCAGCTGAAATTCCCTCTTATTGGTATGAAAAAACACGGTAAGTCTTTAACAGACCCTATTCAAATTTCACGATAATTAAATAATTATGAGAATACGATTGAATTATAACTGGTTACTGGTGAATGATAATACAGAAATAGGACGAATGAATAATAATTTTCTATAATTATAATTTCCTACTTAGCGCTCGGTACTCACATGCTTGTATAATTAGAAAAACGTATCTCTTTTTTTTAAACTTATTTTTTATATATATATATCAGTTCTCTTTTTCTGCTGTATAGAGCGTGTCTTTATGTGTCCATTCTTCTATTTTAAGGCGAAGAAGACGGGTCTCACGGCATCAAATAAAATTTTGATACATCCACATTTCCACGAACGACATTACCGCGAAGACTTGTTTATTGGAAAAGAAGAATAACTAAGCCTCGTTTTGTATTTTGTACATCAAGTTTTCAACCTTAAGTGAACTTATGTGGTGAAGAGTCACTATCTGATAACGTCACACATACATAGTATCGCATCATAAATATATGTTTTGTCAGAAACTACTTTTTGAACTCACTCTCACACTACCTCCCCTCCCGTGAACATTGCCAAAAATATCCAAATGTATACTATGAAAATTCGTGAAAGAGTCGGAATCCTGTTCGTGGAAAGGTCGTGTTACGGGTTCTGCACTGATACGAAGTATGAGCTTCAGCTTATCGTGTACCGAAGAGAAAACCGATCAAACACGATAAGCGATGAAACTGGATATTTGTAACTGTATCACATGATGACTATTAACGAATTCGTCGCCGTTCGACACTTCTACTTTTCGACAGTCAGTGTTTCGACACTATCGAATTTTGTGCGAAAATATTCAAACACACTAGAAACTCGACAGATTTTTTTCTTCACTTCTCTACTAGAGAAGCAAAAGCGTAAACACGTAGAGGCGTAGACAATCCCTACGTCGACCATTTCACTATGTTTCTAGGAAAAAAATCATCAGTAGTCTCCGGGGCATAGTGGCTTGACATTGAACGCGGTCTGATGACTCACTCTCATGGGCACCCCTGCGCATTTACGTCATTATCCTTTTATGTCTTTTTGAAATTTTTCAATGAATATTCGACAGGCATTCGACACTGTCGAATTCCAAGCGAAACATTTTCGACAGACTAGAAATTCGACAGATTTTCCGCTCGAAATTCGACACTGTCGAAATACGCTGTCGAAAAGTGTTTCTGTCGAACTGCGAAATTACCCTATTAACCACACAACTTCACTCAGATTTGAAAAAACATGATATACAAAACACGAAACCAGGCTTACTTATTCTTCTTTTCCAATAAACGCGTCTTCGCGGTAATGTCGTGTCATCGTAATTTTAGGTGAGTCATTATATGCCGACTCCAATGACCTGAATAGTCATGGAATAGTAATTAATCTAGAGCACAATCCGATGCACCGAAAATAAGCTTGAAAGATCACAATCACACGTTTTGAGGAAACTAAAGGATTTTTGTTGCACTTTCCTCTTACTTTTGTGAAACAGAAAGGATGCTTTCCAGTGTGAAAGATGCATACCTACTAAAAACAAACGGTTTCAAGTAAATACCAGATGTTTTCCCGTTTCGTTTATTATTCCACCTTTTCGAGCATTAACAAAGCTGTTGAGATTCGTTACTTGATTCGGCTATTGATGTACTAGTGCTGCTACAGCCAACAGGCTAACTGTAGCTGCTTTTGATGGTTCACTGTATTGTTTTTTAAACCCCTCTGATAAAACTCTATAATCGTAGGTAATTACATGATGTACACCTCTACTATCAACACATCTTGTATTAGTCGAATTTGAAGTCTTTCCAGCTATATGGTAGCTAGCGGTGTCGTCTTTGTTTCGTGGTTGAATACAATAACCAGTTCCACCCAACACAGGATTCCATGATAAGAGAATAGTTTGAGTTTGATGTATAATATTAGCAATTAAATTTCGTGGCGATAGTTGGAATGTTCCAGAGTGTTGTGGTGTCTCCTTATGTCTTATGACTAAGAATTAATTGGAGTATTTGACTCTTAAACTGACGGATGAGAGCGTGCAATAAGAGCAGAACCATTAAAGTAGTCGAGTGACGACGTATTTAGCAAACGTATTTGTAAAACTTACCTCTACCAAACTTCTCTTTTCTTTTTACAGAAGCAAAGTAGGGAGAACTATGGGCTATCGAATTGACACAAAGGAATAAAAAGATCATGTTCTCACATACTCAGGTTTACATGCGGTTAGTTACACGTTTGACAACCCGTCGCAGAAGCTTTTCTATGAAGTGGGACATTTTTCGAGTAATCATTCTCTACTCGATCGTCTTGAAAACATTACTTTTTCCTCTTCGTTCACGTTGCAAAATACTACAGCAAGAATATGTAAGCAATAAGCTCCATATGAAACTGTCATATGCATGCGTTCCTCAAACACCTGCGCCATGAGACGAAAGAAACATGAAAATATCATTTGAAGCTGGTTTAAATTTCAAGTTTTCATCCAAGAGAATTTGAGATCACTGTTTTGATTTTATAGTCTTTCTGAGCCTTTCTATACTCTTTTGTAATAATCTGAGGTGTTCTTGTCGTGCACCTACCTTTTAGCTAGATTTTTGACTCATTCGTTTTGACTCATGTTCGTAAGCTTAATGCGCGTTGTTCAAGCATGAGTCAGAATACATGACTCATAAGAGTAAACAACTCTTGCATTACTGCTGTTCCGCCACCATTAAATTTACCTTCATATTTTCTTCAACAGACCGGGAAAAACCATTTTTAAAGCCAGCAAACACTCATATGAAAAGTACGAACTTTTGTTAGGCTCAGAGATACAAGTTCATATATATATATAAAATCTTCGAATTAATTTCATATTACCTTAGCAACAATATAACAAATAACTTAGTAACAATACCCCATGGTTCAAGCCGACTTGAACTAAAGGAAGTTTGCGATCACGGTTTATTCACCCTATTAAAAGTTGGCTCTTTCAAGTCGACAATACCCCTTGGATCAAGCTGACTTGCACTAAAGGAAGTTTGCGATCATGATTTGCTCACTCCAACAAAAGCTGGTTGGTTCATGTTGGCTTGAACTAAAGAAAGTTTCCGATCATGGCTTGTTCACTCCAGTAAAAGTTCGTTGGTTCAAGTTGACTTGAACCACAGGAAGTTTCCGATCACGGTTTATTCGTCATATTAAAAGTTGGCTGGTTCAAGTGGACAATATCCCATGGTTTAAGTTCACTTGAACTAAAGGAAGTTTGCAACCATAGTTTATTCGTCCTATTAAAAGTTGGCTGGTTCAAGTCGACAGTACCCCATGGTTCAAGTGGACTTGCACTAAAGTAACTTTGCAATCATGATTTATTCACCCTATTAAAAGCTGGCTGGTTCAAGTGGACAACACCCCATGCTTCAAGTTGACTTGCACTAAAGGAGGTTTGCGATCATGGTTTGTTCACTCCGATAAAAGTTGGCTGGTTCAAGTCGACAATACCCCAAGGTTCAAGTGGACTTGAACTAAAGAAAGTTTGCGATCATGGTTTGTTCACTCCAATAAAAGTTGGTTGGTTCATGTTGACTTGAACTAAAGGAGGTTTGCGATTATGGTTTGTTCACCCTATTAAAAGTTGGCTGGACCAAGTCGACAATACCCCATGGGTCAAGTTGACTTGAACTAAAGGAAGTTTCGGATCATGGTTTGTTCACTCCAGTAAACGTTGGTTGGTTCATGTTGACTTGAACTAAAGGAAGTTTGCGATTAACATTATTGTTATTGAGTTCACAAAATGAGCAAATATGACAGACATGTTGAAAGAACATTAAAAGATGTAGCGTAATAACAGATAAAGCTTAGATATCTTCTGGCTTAATACAGATGATGATTGAGACACAAATGATGACGTAAGATTCTTTTTTTTTCATGACAGAAGGTGATTAGTAGAGCAAACGTGAGCGATATTTATATAATAGTTATTTTTTTTGTATTAGCTTTAAATATGTCTGACAATCGTAAAAAATCGAAACGTCGAAAACTACACAAAGTTTGCGATCATGGTTTATTCGCCCGATTAAAAGTTGGCTGGTTCAAGTCGACTTGCACTAAAGGAAGTTTGCCATCATGGTTTATTCACCCTATTAAAAGTTGGCTGGTTCAAGTCGACTTGCACTAAAGGAAGTTTGCCATCATGGTTTCTTCACTCTATCAAAAGTTGGTAAGTACATGTATAATTCTGATAGTTCTAATCATTTTATAATAAATCAAGAAATTTTGTAACTGTATCACATGATGACTATTAACGAATTCGTCGCCGTTCGACACTTCTACTTTTCGACAGTCAGTGTTTCGACACTATCGAATTTTGTGCGAAAATATTCAAACACACTAGAAACTCGACAGATTTTTGTGTTCTGATAAAACAGGTTCTATTTCGTAATGCATTCAGTAAAGGATCTAGTGATTTACATTGTAACAAATCTGTTCAGAAAACTATAAACATTATTGTTATTGAGTTCACAAAATGAGCAAATATGACAGACATGTTGAAAGAACATTAAAAGATGTAGCGTAATAACTAGGGATGGATCGGTGTCGGTGTGAACGCCGAAATACTGACACTGAAGACACCGATATCGGTGTAC